ACAACAACAACAACAACAACAACAACAACAACAACAACTACAGAAGCAGCAAGCAGCAACAGCAGCCACAGCAACATCTTACATCACTTGTCAGCCTTTCAATTGGTGAAATGGCCTTCCTCCAGTTCGTATTCTGTTTTTGAATAGACTACATAATTCCAAAAGGCTTTGAAAACTCGCCTTCGTCATGCGAAAATATGCTAAGCATGTTTCGTCATCATCAAGAATTTGATGCAACATTCTAAATTCTCCTGTTTTGCCTCGTTCTTTGAATATGGGATGTACCCAGAATCGGCGGTGACCTTGCATATACCTCCTCTTCAACCACCACCATAAAAAAAAATTCTTCTTCCTTGTTAACGTCATTTCTCTAGATCTAGGTCTGGTGCGCATAAAAAATCACCGTACGTGTGAGGACGCTGTGGTCACGGGCTAGCCGCTAGAGTGCGGACGCTGTGGACCCTTGCTCTTAGGCCTACAATCTCTCTGATGGCTGTTCACAAACACTCTGCTTTGACCTGAAAACCGAGCATCCGGCAGAATCCAGTTTTCTCACGAATGTGTTTTTTTAAAGAAAAAAAAAAGAAACGTTTTAAAGTGAAACCTCTTATTAAATCTCCCGAAACCTCACTCATATTTTTGTGGTTGTTGAATATACACCTCTGGACACTAAACTACGATAGAAAGACGATTGCATTAATTTTACTTAAATCCACGTAGTCTAAAAAGGTCGATTTAGCCAAGATTCGCTCATACTGGGGTTTTCACTCCAACGACAGACACCGATAACGACATACAAAGGCCCCGTATCTGAACTATAATATTGACGCAAGAAGAAGGGGTTCGCTTTGGAAAACACATGTGTGTTTTTATCGTGTGTTTCGACATTTGTTAAAACCCAAATCTATTTTTATCGTCAACAAAAAAAAATGTATTGAGCAACCTAGCTGTATTTAAAGGAGGCCTTGTTTGATTATCAGCCAAAGAACTCTTTGACCACTACACAGGTAAGGTGTCTGCTGAAGGTTTTCGTTCTTCTTCGTTGTCTGAAACGTAGGCCTACGTTTTTGGCGCAGTTGAGGACGTGTTTTACTCTTTTGTTCATCATCATCATCACCATCATCATCATCATCATCATCATCATCATCATCATCATCATCATCATCATCATCATCATCATCGTCGTCGTCGTCGTCGTCGTCGTCGTCGTCGTCGTCGTTGATATCGATTAGTTGGTCGCTGTTGTCGTTATCTCTATTGCCATCAAAATCTTCAGCACATATTAAAAAGTCCCGCAACACCCAAAAGGGTATCAGCGGCGGATAAAAGAAAAGAAAAGTTCATATTAAAAAGAATTTTTATCAACACCATGATCACCACTGCCATCATCAACTCGCTACTAACAACTAGCAACAAATGTCAGCCATGAGTGTTATTGTGGCTTGGG